GACACTCTATCGTTGTAACCGATTATGATATTCATACTCATTCCCATAGTAATATTTTTGTATGCTCATCCCCATATCCGATATGTAACGGATAACTCAAATTTACCCAAATATCCAATTATAATTTTAAAAATAATAAAATAATTCAAAAAAATCATATATAAAAATCTGCACTAAACAATTCAATAAAATCCAAAATAATTATATTTTACAAAGTGATATGTAAAATATTTTTTTATAAGTTATATATTATTTTAATATATAAGGTATCGGGTGACTTGCGGGGCAAGTATCACCTCACTTGCCCCCATCCCCGAACCTGATTAACCTAATCGGGTACAAAATTTCCCTATATCCGCATCCATTTAGGGCAGAGAACAGGTAACCTGTCGATATAGGTGAAATTGCCATCCCTAATTAACATATAAGAACAAATGTTGGGAATCAAGGGAATGCAAACCTTATGTTCCCACCCTAGGGAGATCATTCTTTTGATTTTAGAACTATAATCATAAAAAATCTTCACTCCAATAATCCCAGATCTCTTTTAACAAATCCCACTTCACCCTATATCTCCACCACTCCGATTTAACAATGTTAATGTAACTCCTAGAATTACTGCTACTATCTAGAGATGGCAATAAGGCAGATCAGATTTCATTTGGATTGGGACACTTCGAGCAAGGTTATTTTAGGTTGGAAGAAGTTTGTACATTTTTAGGGTCATTTTAATTTTGGGCCACTTAGAATCATGGTCATCTTGGGTTTAAGTCATTCAGGTTTGATACTAGGATCATTCCAATTAGAAACATGTCAAGTTCAACTTGTTGACTTTTAAAATCAAATCAAATTGGATTTGAATGCTTTAATGTAACCCCTAGAATTACTACCACCATCTATTGATGGCAATAGAGCGGATTAGGTTTGGTTTGGATTGGGTCACTTCATGTAAGGTTCCTTTGAGTCAGAAAACGTTTGGACATTTTGGGTTATAGTCATATTTATTTCAGGTCACTTTGAATCATGGAAATCTTGGATTCGCATCATTCAGGTTTGACATTAGAGTTATTTGAATTCAGATCATTTCGGGTTCAAGTTTTTTACTCTAAAAAGTCAAATCAAATTGAATTTGAATGGTTTATTCAAATCAAGCCAAATTTTATCAGCCATTATTAAGTTATTGAAAGCCACATTTTCATCCATTTGTGACATACATCCAACTTTGAATTTTCATATCGTAAAATTAAATTTTTCAAAAAAAAAAATCATTAAATCACATAAAATAACCAAATGAATTAAAAGTCACATAAAAATTAACATTTTGTTCCCAAAAGAATTAACAATTTTTGTTAATTGATTGATATTAAATTTAATTTTCACTACATTGAATATCATTAGTGAATCCCCATGATATGGTTACGACTTACGCCTTAATTTCTCAATACCTAACCAAAAGCTAGAGGTGGTGTTAATTAATTTCTCAAAATTAGAATTTCTTTGAAAGGTAATAAGTAAAAAGCCATTTCAAATTTTGGATATGAATATTTAATTCTCTCTTTAGCTACATTAAAGAGTCAAAGATTTATTATATGAAATTTAAGTGATATGTAATAATAACTTCTTCTAAGTGAGACGAAGAAAGATTCAATTGTGTTTCTAGTTCATAAATTACTTTTTGTTTTTAAAGTTATTATTATTTATGCTAAATATTTCTTCTATTATTACATAAGATTAAAAAAAAGAAAAATTGAAAAAAAATTTATTCCTATGTATAAACGTAGAAATTTAATTTAATTATAGTAACATAAAGAATTTGTTTTTAACTCTTTTTTACTAATAATTAACAAGGATAACATCCAAAGTTATATAGAAATGCAAGCAAAGGAAAGATATTACAAAAGATAATTTAAAGTTATTAAATATTAGTAAACTAATAGTTTAGTTTTATTTATTTTTTTAATTAAATTAATATTTTTAAAAAATAAAGTTATACTCAATTTAAGTTTATATCATCTAAATTTAGCTTTTTGGATCATTCTGTGTTTAGGTCATTTTGAATTTGAGTCGGTTTCAAGTATAGATCATCTTCGATTTAGATTCTTGATAGGTCAAGTTCTTGTTTAGGAGGATTTTTCAAGTTCAAATAACTTTGCCAGCCCAACTACTATAAGTTGCCATTGCACCTTTATTACAGAAATTAAACACAACTATCATTACCAAACTTTGTTTGATTCTTGATCAAGGATCGGTCAGCACTCATCACATTCATCATTCTACCTCAATTTTGTTCCCATTTAAATGACTCGTATATCAGCAATTTAATGAAATTTTCATGGCATATAGCACATTATACAGTTAATGAACAACATTTAATCATTATTTTTGACAATCTTTATAGCAGTTTTCAACATTTGAGAATTTATGCTTTAGTGATCATATTATAACCATAAATAATGGTTTTGCAAAAATTGGTGTTTTGCATAATGTCTACTTTTCCTGTTGACTTGCATAATTCTTTTGTCTACCATGCCAATAAGGCTACAAGTAGCAAATACTCTTATTCTTGTATACTTTTATTTGATATTTGTACGCAATGCTACTCTTAATTTCCTAAGATTATGTTGTGTCATTATCATTTCATTAATTTCTGCATGATACATATAAGCTTAATTCATGAATTATTCCTCCATTATAACATTAAACCTCCACTAGAGTTAATGTCATTTCTAACTTATGTAATGATTTCTTGTCAACTTTGTTGAACCTTCACCTTAAGGGTATTATTTTTTCAAGTGTTTTAAATCTTTTCTGGTGAATCTTTCATCAGTAAATAAACAGCTTAGTTATTTGTTTAAATATGTAGAGGAGTTCTCATAGAAGGAAAAGGTAGTATTACAACTGAGTAAGCAGGGAGAATAGAATATTCAGATAGGCAAAAGAAAGAAAAAGCCTTAACATACTTGAGAACTGTGGCAAGTACGGAAATAAAGGTGGTAGGGGAGGAAACGTACAGGAGATAGTGCTAACTTAGATGTAAAACAGTTGGGAAGCAGAAAAGTGGTAACCTTGTTCTCAAAAAGTGTTGTTATTGAAGGAAAGCTAATATCAAGGATGAGCAAAACTACATAGATACTGAAAGGCCTAGAGAGAAAATAGTTAAAAGTTTATTTGAGTTGTGTCAGGTGAATAATGCAGAATGCTAGGAAGCTAATTAAGGGATTAACTTATATAAGATTTTGTTTTCTTAATTTATTGTATTTATGGTGCTTAGATGTAATATTCTATGGTCATGTTTGGTGCATAGGATAACGGATAGGATAATATGATAATCATTTTATATTATGTTTGGTTTGTATCTAATTGAAAAGGATAAGATTACAAGAAGGATTATCATTCTCTTGATATAAGATGCTTCAATCCTCCCAAAGTGGATTTTTAATTTATAGGATTAAACTTACATGTCCTTTTATACCTTTAAAAATTACATCAATAATTTAAATTGTATAAACTTTGAGAAAGGATATTTTTGACCAATAAATAAATTATCTTATCTAATCCTTGCATACATCAAACATAAGAGAGGATGACATTATTTAATCTAATCTTATTTATAATATCATCTTATCATATCCCATCATAATCTTATATACCAAATATGACCTATAGATCTAGTGCTATATTTGGTATGTTATGTTTATATTAGGGTTTCATAACTTAGTTTGGTTTTCCTTATCCTAGTATTATCTTAGTTTTATTTTTGGTTAATTAAACATTTAGTTCTTGAACTTTGGTCAAATTCTTGATTTGCACTTGAAGTTTAGAACTGTACAAATAAGTATTCAAACTTTGCTTTTGTTCAACAATTTGCACAATAAACTAACACAGTTAGTCAAATGGATAATGTACTCAAAATATCCAATAAAATTACAAAAGTTGCTTGCTGACATGGCATTTTGAGATATGTGGCATGTTTTTATAGGTTGTTTTCAGGCACATCATTCATTTGACTCATTTTTAGTCACGTGTGCAACCTGTTGGATGGAAGCAAAGTTTAAATACATAATTGCTAATATTTAACCTTATGCACCAAATAAAGAATTTGGCTATAGATTTTAGGTACCAAATGTGTAATTAACCGAAAACTTTAACTAAAGTTTATTAGTTTTCAATTAGGGTTCTTAAGTATTTTCTTTAAATTCCTACTCAGAATGAGTTCTACTTCTATGATTTGGTTTTGTAGGAGCCTATTTAAATATCAATCTACTTTTTTCTTTTGGAAGATGGATTATTATGAGAATTTTTCAGCAATATTGCTATTGAGATAGTGAGATGCAATCAACCTTCGTTGTACCATTAAGGAACCCACAAATACTTATGTTTTCTTTCTTTTGGTTGTGTTATGGGAATCCTAGGTGTGAAGCTTAGAGATCTTTTCTTTTCTTTTTTTCCTTTTCTCTATTTAGCTTTCCCTATTTTCTTAAGAATTTTAGATAATTATTGTCATAAACCCTAGCCTTCCAAGCTGTACTGCGTCAGTGCAGTTCATGCTATCATTTATGCAAGGCAACACCTATTTGCATGTTGGGAGGTACAAACAGTGCAGCCAATGGGTAAATTATATTTCTAGTTCATCCTATAATAAATAAGGCCAAGCAGTGCAAAGAGCTAACTGTTATACTTGGCACCATAATTGAAAGTGTAAAAGGACATTGTATGTTAAGCATGATCAATTGAGGTATTCAAGCATTTCAAGGAAACGGTAAGGGGAAGAACCTCTTAAACTAGCCCCACATCAGCCCACCAAGTCAAAACTCTTCATGACATCCCAGTGTTTGAGACTAACTCAAATATTGCCTCTAGTTCTAGGTTAACCACATATGATAAGCACGAAACACGTACATGAAGTGAAAAATTATTGTAAAACAAATCATACATCTATGAGGTTAATCCTATTTATAGACTAGGGGATGCAATCAATGCAGTCAATGAGCAAATGATACCTTGAATGATTTGGAACGACGAATGGAAGGGTCTATCTGCAAACACGTTGAATAAGACTTTTGAGCTGAATCATATTGGTTCATGGCCAAGAAAGCATCACCTTGCAAGATATAAGCCTAAGAAATGAAAAGAATGGTAAATATACCTCGATGACATGCAAAGCACAATTGAATTTTTTATTACAATTTTTTAAATGGCGTGATTGTCCTCAAGGTTTTGATAGTTTTGCGTGAAAATGATTCAACTTTGAACATCTTCCTTAAAATCAATTAAAGAATGACTGCAATATATATATATATATATATATATATATATATATATGAGCACACATTGTAGACCCATAAACATATATGCACAAAAATATGGATGCCAAAAGTTGCTATTGATAGAAATGTGTAGACAAAATAAGTCCATACTTGCCCCCCAAGTACTACTTGCTTGAAGGTCCCTTTTGTCAAGATGCATCAAGCAATATTGTAAGAGATTCTTTACCATCCAGGACCCAGTAGAGTGTAAGAGATTCTTTCAAAGTCCAAGTTACTTGCCTCTAACAATTCAAGTAAGAAGAAAGTAAATAGCTCACCTCGGCATAGTTGGGGGCTAATTTCAAAGATTGAGTGGCATCTTCAAGAGCGCCAGTGTAATTGTGCATTGCCAGTCTAGCAACAGATCTGGATGCAAAATAAAATAAAGATGAATTATGATGAAAATGGTTTTTTTTTTCAAAGGAAGAAATAGATTGCACTTAACACAACCGGATAAACCTTTGTTTGTAAAGGATGTGAATGCCACCAACTGGTTTTAAATCGAGAGCCTGTGCGGTGGAAACAAAGGAGCGATGGTTATTCGTTAACGTTATTTTGTAATTGATTGCTCAAGAAATTAATTGACAGGATTGCTACTTTTGTTGCATTTCTTTATACCTGGGAAAGCAGGCGCTCAGCCTCACAGAAATCAGCCTCGTCAATCAAAGCCTCAGCTCTCATCCTCATAGCAAGTGCATCCAGGCTAGCCTTACTCTTGCTAGAAGCATCACCAATGCCACCTCCATACCATAATCCAACCACAAGCTCCGCGGCTTCGGCCGCGGTGCGACAATGCCCCACTATTTGGCCGTCCGGCAGCAGAGCCACGTTGGGCCCAGCACCGCAGCGTCCAAGGCAACCGCAGGGCTTCACGGAGATGTCAGGCGGGGTCAGAGCGGTGAGGGTGTGGAAGGTCTGCATGGAACCCTGTCTGCGGCAGGTGCGGTTGGTGCACACCCTGATTTCTTGCACTTGAGCCTCGCTCTTTACAGGGAAACGGAGAAGCGGATGATAAGTTGAATTGGAAATCCACAAATGCATTTGATTTTCTTTCGTTCTCTCTTGCTTTTCTCAATCCCCTAATTTGCTTTCCTTTTGCTCACCCTTTCTCCCTCTATCCGATTATTAATCGAATCAAAAAGCTTCCCGGATAAACCTCTGCCAACACTCTGAATTCTCCTAAAAAGGTTAAACCACCAGTTTTTTCTTTTCTGAATAAAGATTATAACAAGGCAACGTTTGGTAGGTAGATTTTTTATTATGAGAAATACATAATTTTAGGAGAAAGTAATATTAAAAAATTTGTATGAATTTTTTGTTTTGTTGATTTAATAAATATAAATTTTTTGTATTTAGTTTACAATAATATAAGATTATTTTAAAAAATCTTTTATTATATTATCTTTTATGACATGTAAATAATACGTAATATTTATAATACGTTGCTTTCATTGAAATTAAATAATTTTGAAAATATTTTTCATATTTTCAACAAAAAAATTTTATAATTATAATTACTATTGTTACATTGAATGTCCCTATGCTAATTAAGAATATGTAAACGCAAAGATCATATAAGTAATAAAAAAATATTGCTCTCTCGGATATTATTTTATTGAGAATAATAAGAACTAAAATTATCTCATTTTACCTTATACTTAAACAATAAAAACAAAAATGAAAAAACAAAATATAAATATGCAATTAAACCTAAAACATGCAATATTATAAACTACTATGAAATTTAACTTAAACTAATGCAAATTGAAAAAAAATTAAAAGAAACAAGATTTAAATGATTATGAATAAGCAAAATTGAAACTAAAAAATGAAATTATGCTTAAACCAAAACCAAAATAAAGCTAGATAACCAAATTGAAACTAATAAATAACAAATCAACATGCAAATAATCTAATTCCACTAAATCGAAATATACAAGTATGCCTAAATATGCAAACCTAATCAATTTAACAAAAAACCAAAACAAGAATAACCAAATTAACTCTAAACTGATTATGAACTAACTAATTAAACTCAACAACATGCAAATTTAAACTTACCAACTTCAACTAACCCAAATTGAATTAAACAGCAAGTGAACTAATCAAATTAAACTTTAACTTACTCAATTAACCCTAATCAACTACCAAAGCATGCAAAAAAATTGTTATTAAACTTAAATCAACCTAAAAACATGCAATAGTATCTAAATAATTCAAAACAGAACCGAATCAAACTAAGAAGCAAGAATCGAATGTTGTGATCACTTAAATTAACCATAAACATGCAATAGCTATAACTAAATATAACTAATTAAAGATTAAAGATGCAAGAATTTAACTTAAATCAAATGAAAAATCAATAATAGAAACCATTTTGAAGAATAGAACATATAAACCAAAACTTTAATACAATATATCATGCAAATTAACGAAATCATGCAAATATGCAATAATTGAAATTAAATCTAACCTAACTATAATAATAGAATGTTGTTACATTAATTAAATATGAAATTGAAAGCATAATATGAAACCAGTATGCAAATCAAAACAGTTGAATAGAATTAAGCAACAACTAAGCAAGATTACAACAAGAATAATCAAAGTTTAAAACCGAATAGCAAAATATAAGCCAAGAACATGAAACCAAAATTGTTTTAGCAAAAATTGAATCCACTAGAAAGCGATTATAAAAATGCTTAAATAAAATTTTATTGAATTTAAAACTTTGAAAAAAAGTTACATAAATTGAAATTTAAAAGAGTAGAAAATTAAAGAACAAAGAAAGCCTTAAAAGAGTTCAAGAACAAGAAATTTTAAGAATTCTAAAGTTGCTAAAATTAGTTTGTCACCTCAACCACTTACACATTTTTTCCTAAAACCTAAACAAGGTATTTATAAACAAACCTAAGAAGTATTCGACTAACTTAGAATCCAATTAGTAGCTCATTTGTTTTGGTTCAAGTAAACTTATTGAATCCAAGAATGCTTCTTGAAGTTGAATGAAAGTTGAACTCTTCAAAAAGAACTTTTCTAGATCAATTCTTGTGTTCTAGATGATAAATATCTTCTAGCAACTTCTTTCTTTACATATATCAACTTCTATAATAAAAGAAAAAAAGAGAAAATCGAATCTTGCAAACTAGAAATTAGGTTCAGCTTAGGTGTACACTAACCTTCTAAAAGTGCATAAAATTGCATAATCTTGAACATCTTCTTGATTATCATGACTTGGCCTTTTTCTTAGAGAAAATTAAGAGTTTTTCTTCAATAAAAATTCTTGCTTTGCCTTATTATTAATGCTCTTTTTATAACTCATGGAAATCCTACTCCAAATAGAAATAGAAATAGGAATACAATCCTAGTAAAAATAAGAAATCTAAATCCAAATAGGAAAAATCAAGGTTGCTTAGTCTTTTTTAATGTAAACATAATTACCACCTCATCATGCCACATAAGCCTTTAAATCATTTTTTTTAACCAATAAGAAAAGACTTGCTGCCATGTCATTCATTAGTAATTCTATAGATGTGCACCTACATAAGTTACTATAAACTTGCATTCACTTGAAATTATAATTCTATCCTTCATTATGGTCAAACATGCCTTGCTTCATTCTTGCATAAATTTTCTCAATCTTTCATCAAGATTGAACAATTTCAACTTTCAAATTTTGGCAAAACCAATCTTAAACATCTTCCACTTTAAGATTTTCAAAAAATTCAAAAACTTCAAAAATCACAAAGAATATATCAAGAACATTCCAAATTCATTCTAATGCATCAAGAATCATCCAAGATTGATCAAGAATTATCAAGATTCTTTAAGATTGAACAAGATTCAATATTTTCTTCCAAGATTTCCTATAAAATAGAAAATTGAATCTATTAGGAGTAAAAATATCCTTATTTCACCAAGAACTAAGCAAAAATCAATCAATTAAGCACTAGAAATAACTCTATTTTATTGAGTTATCATATGCACAAAAAATTATATAAGGTTTGGAAGTGGTGGTAAACCTCATTTTCAAGGGTTTCAAGAAGCGGATTCTCGAAACAAATTTTGTAAGTAATAATATTAAGTAAATATATTTTAAATGTATATGTAATAATATAAAATAAAGATATTTTATGTTTTTTTTAATATTGTTATAAGTAACAACATCCACTACGTTTTTTTAACTTAAAATGAAATTTTTTGTTAAAATTCTAGAATTTCAAAAATAAAGTTTTAACATCTATTATATTTCTTATCTTAAAAACACAATCTTTGTTAAAATTCCAAAATTTCAAAATAAAGTTTCAAATCCACTACATTTCTTATTTTAAAAATACTTGAAAATAAGTTTCAATATCTATCACATTTCTTATTTTAAAAATGTGGTCTTTGTTAAAATTGTTTAGTTGACGTAACAATTAAAAAAGTTGCACTAGCTAGATTTTTTTTTAATTGTATTAGTATTTTATTGGATGTTTATATCATATCAACAAGTTGATTAACAACGTTAGCTTGAGGTATCAAAGTGGATGACAAAATGAAAGTTCGGCTACCAAACTGATAATTTATTTCTTTAGGTACCAAATTGACAGAAAGTGAATAGTACAAGGGTCATTTTATATTTAACCCAAAAATAAAGTTTTAACATCCACTAAGTTTCTTATTTTAAAAACATAGCATTCGTTAAAATTTTAAAATTTCAAAAATAATTTATCTTTTGAATCTCAATACAATTAACATTTAAAATAAATTTAATTTCAAAGAATTTAATATTATTGTATTTTTAATTTCAAATAATTTAATATTATTTAAAAATATAAATATGTTAACAATTATTGTATTTTTATTAAATAAATTCAAATCAATTGTACAAACTAAATACAAATTTAATCATAATGAATTAAAACTCAATACAAAAAAATTGAATTAAATTTATATTTTTTGAAAAATAAAATTTAATCATGGTTATTACCAGATGTCAAATGACAAGACTTGAACTACTTTATGCATGTTAGTTTGGGTTTCAGTTTATCATGTAATTTTTTTTTATATTAGAGGGTAAAACAAACTATAAAAACCATTTATTTAGGACAAAAATGAGATATATTTTGCATCTTATTAAGAATCTTAGAAGACTTAGAGAGGTGAGAGTTTATAATTCAGGGCTATTTTCTCTCGTTTTGACATTGTTAGAAATCTTAACAAACTCAAAAAATCACATTAAAAGAACCAAATATAGGAATTGTATTACAAAAGTAAGATTTTTGAAAGGAATCTCACTTCTCCTAAACCAAACATCCCTTAAGGCTGGTCTAATATAAAATATTTACTAATTGCCAACATGAAATTAATATAATTGTAAAAAAGGAAATAGCAACTAACCAAATTTATTATTAGACATTCTATGCTACCTAATATAGGATCTTAAGGGTATAAAAAGTTTACAAGTGTCTTATTTTTTGGCTTAATGGGCTTTGGGGTAATAAAGATAAAGTTTAAAATTTTTTTAGATGGTTGGATTGGGCCAAACTTTGGAGTTTTTTCTTTCAAAATTTGTTTTCACTTTTACTAGGCTTAAATAAAAAAAAAATGCATGTATACAAGAACGCTTCAAGAAAAAACACTCGTGGTCATGTAACCAAGGAAAAAGTATTAACAAAGAGGCATAGATGAGATGTCGCTCATAAGTTGCATACGCATAATTAATTTATTAAATAAATAAATACCTCATAACTATATACCTTGTATTAAAAAGATCCAAAAGTTTTAAAAAATTGATAGTTGTTAAATTTTTTAGGTTTTGAGGACTTTAGGTAATAAAAGGTGTTTTTTTCAAATTGTTGGATTGAACCAATTTTGACTGAAAGTTTTTTTTGAAGATTTGTTTTTTACTTTTGCTTGACAGCTTATTAATAAAAGCTCCCTATAATTTATTTGAGAAACAATAATAATGGTGTGTTTTGAACTTGATTAAACATTTATAAGTTCTATGATGTGTGGATTTAGATGTTATTTTTAATTTTATTCATTTTCCAAGTAAAAGATAATATTGAAAAATTATTGGCAAAACACATATCATAGAAAAAAACAAAAAATAAAGTCAAAGCTCATGCAATGAGTATTATTCTCACTTTTATTTTGTTAATTGTTAAAAATAAATTATATTATTATTTTAATTAATTAATTCAAAGTCAATTTTTTTTAATAAAAACAAATGTGTGGTACTACAATATAGCATGAGCCACATCTCTAGTAATAGTATTACCAAC